GCTTGCAGGCTTGATCCCCAGACCTGGTCCAGGCATGAGTGGGAGGCAACCAATTGATGTGTCTCTCTCACATCGATGTTTCTCTCTCTGTCTCTCCCCCTCCCTTCCATTCTCTCTAAAAATCAATGGGGGGAATATATCCTCAGGTGAGGATTAACAAAACCAAAACAAATAAAACTGAAACAAAATTCCAGGCAGTGGAGCATACAGTAATTAGTTTTATTCGATGTGTCATAGCCTAGAGTTCTGCTAAGTTCCGTAGTTGTTATTTATAGCTTCATATATGGGATATTTTTAGAAAACAAAACACCCTCACATGTCATATAGCTCTACCATAAATCCATAAAGAGTGTATTTAATCAAAGTTATAGAGGGCTCACAGGAAAAAAAAGAGCTTTTATATTAGAAGACTGGGGTTTGTATTCCACTGTACCATTTTTTCCAGTGGCCTCTAATTCTTCCAATATCTTGTGGGAAACCAAATGACAGTTCTTACCCAAAACAGGAAAAGGCAAAGGATGGCTTGGGACGAGGGAGCTCTGAATCTTATTTCACAGCTGCTCAAATTGCATCAGTCTCTTTAATTCTCTTAAATGGTCACCCTGGCTAAATTTTATATCCACATTCAGCGCTATCATTTTATTATCTTGTCCTTTGTGGATACATGTAGTGACTCTAAATGGCCTAATCCTTTAGCCAGTGCCTGTATTTTCAATAAAAGCACCTCCACAGATGTTCATACGAGGGGCCTGCATATGCAAGCCTGGCTGGTGGCCAGCTAGGTAGATTAGGCTTTCTTGGGTGTTCCAGAAACACACAGTTATTCTTTCCACAGCCTAAAATGAGAGTTCAATTTTATTTCCTTTGAATGGGACTCCTTAATCTCCTATTTTATCTTATGGGAAATACATTAAGATTCCTGACGAGAGCTCACGGTTATTCACTCTTTCTTGGTCTTTCTAAAACCTAGATTAGTAAGCTTAAAGTCATAGAACTATAATCATGGAATGAGTAAGGTTTAAATTTGAATACCAAAATGTCTGTAAAGTAGTAGTGTAAATGCTTAATAAAAATATTTTTAAAATCCCACAAAAGAGGGTAGTGTTACAGCAAAATTCAGAGTTCCTTACAGCTCCATACATCAGCTTTGCCAGCTGTCCTGTCTTCATTGTGAAGGTGCAGGACCTGTGGGTTATCTAAGTGTCTTTGTGGAGCATTGCTGTAACACTGGTTCCTGGTGGCTGGAACTGTTCACATTCTGCATTACTTAGATATAACAGAGATTCATATCTCAGAGTGTGTCATAGCATAAAGCAATAAACTGCACTCACTATATCTTTGGAAACTCTAAAGAGTATTTTTAAAGATTTCTGATTCCCCATGGGCTCCCGTAATACTTTTCTATGGCCTAGAAATATTTTGTATTGAGGCAAAGTCACTATGCATGGAGGTCCCTCTGTGTGGATGTCTCGGTGATATTTAGGGCCAGATTAATGAGACCTCAGTATGTGAGTTAGTCATGCTTTGCTTGTGTGTGGTAGAGCATTTAGGTTAGGCTGACTGCTGGAAAAGGACCACCCAATCTTTGCAGTTGACCTAACAAGCTGCCACCAATTCCAAGAGGAAAATTCATTAATACCTTAATGAATGAGAGTTGTTTGCATTGCTTGAAAATATGTCAGCTACAGAATCTTTGCCTAATTTGATTCTTATAGGGTCAGTCTGATTCCATTAGTAATTTGATAAAAAGCCGGAGCCAGTTGGCTCCGGACCAGGTGTCAGCATGCCCCCCAGCCCACCAGCTCAATGCCACGCTGTGTAATGTTGCTGTGCTCTGTAAAACAGATGTTATGATTTACTCCAGACATCCTGCATTTCATTAAGGAGTGAAGTAGTCAGTTATCTCATTCACTTAGTTTTCAATGGTCCAATCAATGGACTGAACATGTGTGGTCTGTAAAATCTGATCCCAGGTTTAGCTTTTACTTAGAGTATATGCTTTAGAATGCCATTACCCCCATCACTCTTACCATTTTCTCTTCTACACAGTATGTTTCTCTGCTCTTTATATTTATAGATGAATTATTCTAAATCACATTCCCAAGGGACAGTTACTTGTCATTATTTTCAGATATCAGTATTTTTCTTCTTGAAATACTATTGATCTTATAATTCAGAAGCTTGATATAATATTTAATAAATTTATCTGGTGCAGTTAAGCCAATTTTCTCTCATTGGTTTTTTTAAGGTTACAAACTGATATTAAGACTGTGAATGTGTGCTCAAGGAGGAGAGAAGCTAACTGAGTACCATCTCCTGAGAGACAGAAAAGCAGCCTCTTTGGTCTGCCACTCCCAGAGCATTTCCATTCATGGTTTTGGCCAAAAACATGGGATAGGTGGGTAGGCAAATGAATGGGCAGACTTATCCATTTAGCCAACCATCCATTTAGGTTCTTCTATATCTCATGTCTACTCTATGCCAATAGATAATAGATAATAATAAATGACAAACTCCTTCAGTGACGGCCTACTTTGAATATTGTGTTTCAGGATAAACTGTTCACTATATTTTTCCACACCACTTTTTTTGTTTCCAGTGCAATTATTTTTTTTTTAATATGTTTTTATTGATTTCGGAGAGGAAGGGAGAGAGAGACAGAGATAGAAACATCAGTGATGAGAATCATTGATTGGCTGCCTCCTGCACGCCTCCTACTGGGGATTGAGCCTCATTCTCTAATGCATTTTAATTTACTCTTTTTAAAAATTAGAATTCAATGGAATGACACATGAAAGATCAGCCCTCTTTCTTTTATTTTTTAAGTACCTTTCATTCCTTTCTCCTACACCCTAATTAATATAAATTGCTTCTTTCATTTTTTCTCTTCCTCCCCCCAAAGTCAGAAGAGATAGTAGACAGTGGTGTGGTATGGAACTGTGGCCAGCACTGAGGGAGAACTCTTCTTAGTCACTTTTTCTTTAAAAACTATAAAATGTATGTCAATTAAACTGAGCACTATGATTACTTCACAAAATTGCATTAAAGAAAACATGTATATGAAAGATCAGTCGGGAGCCGAAAACCAGGTATTACAGGCTTTATTAGGAAAAAGACCTGCTGGGCTGTCTCACAACGGGAGAGCAGCGGCCCTGACAGAGGTGAGCGCTCCTTTTGAGGGGAGGAATGAGGAAAGAATGGGGGCTTAGGGCACACGCTGATAGGTGATTCAATGTATAGTCCATATAAGGTACAGAATTGGGCCTCCTGGCATTACCGTTACTCTGCCCGCCATTTTGGGGAAGAGGTGATCTATCAGTATATAAAAAGCTTATGTGCGAATATTTTATGCTTCAGGGATTATAGCAAAATTAATGAATTTTCAGGTATATTTTATATTTCCTCAGGTTTCTTTTATTTTTTAGCTTTGCTCTATAGCAGTGATGGCGAATCTTTTGAGCTCAGCGTGTCAGCATTTTGAAAAACCCTAACTTAACTCTGGTGCCGTATCACATATAGAAACTTTTTGATATTTGCAACCATAGTATAAAAAAGATTTATATTTTTGATATTTATTTTATATATTTAAATGCCATTTAACAAAGAAAAATCAACCAAAAAAATGAGTTCACGTGTCACCTCTGACACGCATGTCACAGGTTCGCCATCATTGCTCTATAGACTTAAATAGTAGTGATAGCTTATTTTTTCAAATGTGTGATGGTTTGCGGGGGAGGAGCCTTATTTGGTAATTGTGAATAACCTGGAATACCTGGAATCATTAATAGTTTGGACAATGTTATTTTCATTCTATCTTCATTACACTTTTCTTTGCAATAGTTAATGTATTATATATATATATATATACTAGAGGCTTGGTGCATGAAATTAGTGCACTCAGGGGAGTCGCTCAGCCTGGCCTGCACCCTCTCACAGTCTGGGAGCCCTCGGAGGACGTCTGACTGACGGTTTAGGGGAGTGGGCCTAAGCCATCAGTTGGACATCTTTAGTGCTGCCGTGGAGGCAGGAGAGGCTCCTGCCACTGCTGCTGTGCACACCAGCCACGAGCCTGGCTCAGGGCTTTTGGCTGAGCGGCACTACCCCTGTGGGAGCGCAGTGACCACCAGGGGGCAGCTCCTTCATTGAGCGTCTGCCCCTGGTGGTCAGTGTGCATCATAGTGGCCTGTCGTTCCACTGTTCAGTCGATCTGCATATTAGCCTTTTATTATATAGGATTTAATGAATTTCTATTTTAAGAATTTGCAAAGACCTGCACATAAAAATTAACACACAGGTAAATTAGAATGATTTTTAAATGGCAAAGCATACTAAACTTTGTAAGGTTCCAAATATAAAATAAGTTTACCATTTGTCTGAGTAGTAAATTTTAAAAGTTTAGCCTAAATTTATATTAGTTTCTAAAAATGTGGGTTGTAAAATCTAAATAAAGAAATATATAGTGAAAATTTTCTTTGTTTTAGTTATTCTATTAAGATTTACTGCATTTAATTTTTGTCAAAATATGATGATTACTTTGTGGATTTTTCTTCTTGGTTTAGGTGCCTGAAAGTAGGATGATGTCCAGTAGTTTATGATCATCAAAACCAGAAAGAATCAATTTTTTAATAAAATGGTTTAAAACTTTCTGATACATTTATAAAATATTTGGAATTAAATTTGGAATAAAATATTACTGTGTTATTCTAATAAGTCTAAATACTGGTATAGATTTAATTGCAGTAGTAGAATCAGTCATAATAGTCAAATAGTAGACTTTCATATGGGGTTATTACATTTTTTTTCATTTTGTTTTCCAGATATTTTACATTTTATTGATTTTATAGCCCTTTCAATAATGTGCTATACGTATCAAATCATTTGCATGGCCTTGAACATATTTAATTGATCTGTATTTCTGCTTCAAAACCCAGAAGCCACTTTTAATAATAAGTGACTCCCTTCCTTCTTTCCTTCCTACATTCCTTTCTTTCTTTAAACAGGCCTTTAGTGAGTTTGAGATAGAGCAGCATCAAGAATGTGCTTACGATCACTTGGAAGTATTTGATGGAGAAACAGAAAAATCACCAATTCTTGGACGACTATGTGGCAACAAGATCCCAGAGCCCCTAGTGGCTACTGGAAATAAAATGTTTGTTCGGTTTGTTTCTGATGCATCTGTTCAAAGAAGAGGCTTTCAAGCTACACATTCTACAGGTCAGCAAATTAGGGCCCTGCTTCTCTTTCCTGACTAAGGGCCAGCTTTTCTTCCTGTGAATGCAGTGGGTCCCATAACAGGATCCCACAACAGAGTAAATCTCACTGAAGCACTGTCTAGAACAGTGGTTCTCAACCTTCCTAATGCTGCGACCCTTTAATACAGTTCCTCATGTTGTGGTGACCCCCAACCATAAAATTATTTTTGTTGCTACTTCATAACTGTAATTTTGCTACTGTTATGAATCGTAATGTAAATATCTGATATGCAGGATGTATTTTCATTGTTACAAATTGAACATAATTAAAGCATAGTGATTAATCACAAAAACGATATGTAATTATATATGTGTTTTCCGATGGTCTTAGGCGACCCCTGTGAAAGGGTCGTTCGACCCCCAAAGGGATCGCGACCCACAGGTTGAGAATCGCTGTATAGAACCATGCAGCATCCGACCTAACTAGCTTTTATCATTGATGAACATTTAGAAAGAAACCTAATAGTTTGGTCTGATTTGTATTCAAATGCAGTATGATCAAGTTGAACTACATATTTCTAAATATTTCTATAATGTATTATTAACTGTAACAATTTGATTTATATGCCATATTTAACAGATAGAAAATTTATAGTTTGGTATTCAAAAATTATGTGTTCTCTAATCCCTACTGGTTAGTTAGTTTTCGCATTAATTAATTTTTTAATCAAATTTGGGGATCATCTCTGTTTTATAGAACCTTATTTGTTTCCCCTTTTATTTGGCATGAAACACTGAAGTTCTGTAAACCTAATCACTAACATGATTTACAGATTACAGCTGTTCTATAAGTCTTTAAGAAATAAACTATAATTTAGAAAAATATGGATAATTTTAGGCAAACATGTAGAATAGTATTTTTATATCTTGGATCCAATTTAATAATATATTCATAAATGTCTAGGAAATGTCCTTTTTTTAAAGTCTTTTTAAAAAAATCAGTTAATTGCAGATGTTTACTAAAGTCATTTAGCTTATAGTGACATCTAGTGGCATTAACTATGTCTAAACTATTGAGACACGGAAGAAATCTATCTTGGTATAAAATGTCTACATCAACGATTTTCAACCTTTTTCATCTCATGGCACACATAAACTAATTAATAAATTCTGCAGCGCACCAAAAATATATTTTTGCCAACTTGACAAAAAAATAGATATAATTTTAATTCCTTCGCACTGAACAGCTATTGTGTTGGCTGTTGTCATATTTTTATTTGACAATCTAAGGCAAAAAAAGTCAGTGCCCTTGACTAAATAGTCAAGTATTGCATGTTTTAAATATTCTTGCAGCCCACCAGTTTAAAATTACTGGTCTGCATATTTATGAGACAATTTTAGTGCAGTAATTTTTGTCACAGTTTCATGCTGATTGCTTTTATCTTTTTGTTTCATTTTGTTTTAGAAATTTTAATTATTTTATTGTCCAATATTATTTTTCACTCTAGTGTATTTTATTATAAGCATTAGATTTACATTGAAGGCTGTGAGAATGTGGATATTAATTGTCAGGATATTTATCTGATTCATAGTATTAATAATAAGATTCATATATAATATAAAGTAATAATTTTTTATGATTAATATAAATATTTTGGTTTGAGAAAAATCTTTCATGGACCATAAATTCCATATTAATGAAGGATTATCCATACATTTGACATTTACTTTTAAATATTTTTCTGATAACTTGTCATGTGTTGAAGGAATTTGGAATCCCATTACTCTGTCAGTATTTTTCTAACAGTAGAGCGGTCATGGTATATGAAATTCTGGCTATCACAAATTCCAAGAATGCAGTGTGAAAACATGCTTTCAAAACTTTCAAAATAGTTGATGATACAGTATTTTAAATTATCTGAGTATAAATTTCTTTTTTTAGCTTGGTAAAAATTTTCTTTAATAGGGAAACTTCTCTTTGTACTTGTAAATGGAAAGTAAAGATTATGTTGGTACATCTGAGCTCTTGGTCCAACTATGCCATCACCCACCTGGGAGCTTGGGAAAAGACACTGTCTTTGGATCTCAGTTTCTTCATCTGTAAAATAATAATTTCAAAGTTTCTTACAGCTACAAACTCCATGACACCTTAATGTGCCCGGCATCTGCTCATGGAGTCTATTTGCAGTGTTTTTATTCCCATTAAGAATCTATTGTTAAGGGGGAGAGTTCAACCAAGGGGCTTGTATGCATGCATTTAAGCCTACCCAAGGGACCCGGCCCCCAGGGGGGTGAGGGCATAAGTGGGGGAATGGGGGGGGGAGGGGGAGCAATGGAGGGATAAGATCACATATGTAATCCCTTAATCAATAAAGAAATTAAATAAATCCATCCATAAATAAATAGATCCTTTTTAAGAGAAAAGTAAAAAAAAATAATCTATTGGTAGGATCTAATTCTCTACTTTGGCGGGGGGGGGGGGGGGAATTTAAAAGATCTCTGTTGTTAAAAGTATTATATAGGTCCTCCTAACCTCTTCCAGCCCGCTCTCATCCACCCCGCCTCAGGTCCTCACGACCCCATTGTCCCTGTCCAGAGGTTATGCATATATGCATACAAGTTCCTTGGTTGATCTCTTCCCACCCACCCTCCCCTACCTTACCTCTGAGGTTCAACAGTCTGTTCATGCTTCTAATTAAAGTTGATATTCAATATTAATTTCAGGTGTATCGCATAGTGATTAAACATTTATATAACTTACAAAATGACACTCCCAATAAATCTGGTACCCAGCACTTGAGGCACATACATATGCTTTACAAACATTGAATGCTCAAAAGAGCCATATGATATAGATATTATTTTTATTTTTTCAGAGGAAGACATTGAAAATCTAGAGAAGTTATTAATTTTCAAAGAATTCTAAAATTACATTAAAGCATGGATTTTATCCTAATTTTGTCTCCAAAGTTTATGTACTTTTACTGTATATTTTCTCCTAATGTACAAATTTTGGATTAGAAAGGAAACTGTTAAAAAATGGATCACTATTATTTTAAGCAATAGGTAAAGATTGCATGCTTCCTCATTTAAGTTTTAAACATTCCCTCAGTCCAAGAAAATCTGATTAGTCTCGTTTTTTTTCCCTATGCAGTTTACACCCATTCATAAACCCATGAGAACAACCTCGATCTCATTTTGTTAAGCAAAATGTGCCTTGGATATTGTCCAATCCAGCACTGTCATCTCAGAAATGAGGATTCTGAGATGACTAAAACTTAGATGACAACCACATAACAAAAAATAACAGTTGGAATTAGAGTTCTGGCCTTCCAATTTTTTATCATTTGCTCTTATCAAAAATTGTAGATTTTTTTCTTTATGTATAATTTTTTGCCGTCATTTAACCAGCTTTCTTGGAATTTTCTGGACAGGTTTATTTTATACTGCTACTTTCTAGTAGCCACATCTTTTGAAATATTCTTATGTTCTGCCTACTATGTGTTTTTCCCCAGAGCTTTCTTTTTAACAAGTTTTTTCTATTCTGTAGTTTTTCATCAAATATTTATTGAGCACAAGCTTTAGATAGATATGTAAGGTATTAGTAATTTATGAGGGAAAATTAGGAATTCAAGGGAATTTGTAGGAAAATAGGAGTTTTCACCTGTGAACAGCTACAGTATGATAAATTAAACTGATTTTCAGACATTTCTGAACTTCTGATTTAGGGCAGTTTCTACTAAAAAGACAGCCAAATCCAGTACTACATTTGTCCACTGTTTTGCTACATTTATAAAGTGCTTATGCATGATTTACAGCCTTCTAGAATACATATGGCTATTATCAGTGGATCCTGAAGTATGCATTTTAATTTGCTTCCCTAAATTTATATTTCTCTATACAATTTTAATTTTATCCACAAGAAAAGCTTCTAACATTATGAATTTTGAAACCAGGTGATTGGAAATACGCTTTAATATAGCTTTATGGCTACTTTTCCTCAAGTAATACTGTCCAAATCCACTGGAAATGGACTTTATTGGAGAATAGTGTTTCCCCCTGACAGTAGATCTGGTTTCTTGTAGGTCCAATTTTATTTTAATCTGGTAGCAATGTTATTGTTACAGTTTTAAATAAATGAATTGTAAGGAACAAATCTTTCCAATAAAAAGAAAAATCCGGTGTATTCGCTCAGAGGATGCAGCTATAATACAGAAGAAAAGGAGAAATGTGGAGAGAAAGTAATGTTTTAAAACATGGCATGGTCTGGTAGGACTTTTCTGTAGCACAAATCATCACACTTTCAATGCCATTTAAAAATCAAATGATACATTATTATGCTCCTTAGAAAGGAAATTATTTTGATCTAACTCAATTAAAGTAGAATGCCCACCACTAAAAGCACTTATAGGTCAAATTACAGGACCTCTCCCGGAATTTAATACTTTTTCAGGAAATGAACAAACTTGTCTTTCCAAATTAAAATGAAGGCCACCCCTGGGCTTCTCTTCCCTTCTTTTCCCTTTCTTATTGAGCTTCATTTTCCATTTCCCAGAATTCTGTAGAAGACGCTCTGGGAGCTTGAAAAGTGTTTTCAATGGATTTGAAGATGGTATTGCTGACATGCTAAACTACTCTGTTTATATTTTGCTGACTTGGAAAATGAATAGGGATATTTGCAGGAAATGTGTTTACTCTATTTAAGTATCTTCTTTTAAAGGGACCATGTAAAATGAACTATTGAACATATTTCAAAAGCCACTCATAAGCAATTGCCCCACACTGGCTGTTATTTCCCGCTAATGGAAATGTTTCCCAGGCCAATCAGATCTCTTGCATACAATAGCCAAATGTTCGTCCTTTAAAAAGGTATCCTGCAGACTTAATCCTCTCTCCTTTTTTTTCATGGAAAATTAATTCCAGATTTATTATTTTGAGCCATCCATAGGAACTCATGAAACTCATAGGGTCCATAGGGTTATTTGAGTGATTCATAGGAATTCAGTTGTGAATTGAAACAGATAAAAACGGGAACTTTTTGAAATATTTTAAGTCATTTTTTTCAAACTATGCAATTTTTTTGGTTTTCAATAAAATTGAATTATAATGCCTTCTGCCTTTTGCAGACAGCAATAACTTCTAAGTTGAGAAGTTAGAGCATGGTTAGACTCCATTGGAATGGAAACTGACCTGTTAAAGCCCATTGAGCTTACCTGTTTCATTTCTCCCCTGGCAGAGTGCGGTGGCCGCCTGAGAGCGGACTCCAAGCCCAGAGACCTTTACTCACATGCGCAGTTTGGCGATAACAACTACCCAGCGCAAGTCGACTGTGAATGGCTATTAGTGTCAGAACGGGGCTCGCGACTGGAGTTATCTTTCCCGATTTTCGAAGTGGAAGAAGAAGCTGACTGTGGCTATGACTATATTGAGCTCTTTGGTGGCCTCGATTCAACAGCGATGGGGCTTGGTCGATTTTGTGGATCAGGGGTAAATACAGTACCAACAGAATACCATAGCCATGATAAAAAAAAAAAAAGCCTATCGATTCATGCTTAACATATGTAACATACAGAACAGCGGTGTTTTTACAAAAGAAACTGATATATTATCAGTTTCTTAACACATTATAACACGCCTTACCACTTCTTACCACTTCTGGTGAATTTGCTTGATAATATCAAAAGAGATAGATGAATTCAGTAGTTATAATTTCTTGTTACCATCCACATTCTAAATTTATATTCTTGGCTTTATAGTGCAATAAATATCTAACTTTTTAATAATATAAATGGAATATACTTAAACACACACATTTGACAATGTTGTCACCTTCCTAAATTAAAGCACACACACACACACACACACACACAAAACAAACAAACACAAATATGCACCCCATTCAGATTGACATTCTCTTTTCAACAAATGTGTTTGGTGGGAGTGGATGGTCCGCCACAGGTGTGCAGATCAGCCGGATGTTATTCAACTGCAGGGTATCACTCTGCACAGGACACATTGCCAGGTACAGGCCAGAGCGTGTCACAATGAGAAATAAAAAAAAGGGGGGGAAGCTTAAGGAAAGCCTCAGTGCTTTCTTTCCCAGAATCCTCTGCATCAACATCAAATCCACAGACTCAATATCTGAGTATATATATTGTTTTGACGACATTATCCCCAATTTTTTTATTGTCTGTCAGTATCTATCGCTTAATTAATACTATTAAACTCCTGTCCAAATAGCAACTGAAATGAAAACAAAAACCTTCTTGGACTTCAATTATTAAAACTAGAAGGAATGGAAAGTTTGGGTTCTGGAAGTGACTCTGCCTCAGAGCAGCTCCTGAAACAAGTTTAATGTCTCTTCATCCTCTCTGAGCCTCACTTCATTAATTTGTAAATCAAAGGAACTTGGCTTAAAAATTTGGGCACAAAGCACCAAGTTCCAGAATTTGGAAACAGACTTAAGTATGCTCAAAGCCCAGCTACATTACTGACTAGCTGTGTGAATCTGAGCGTGTCATTTGCTTCTCTGAAACTCAAGTTTTCTTATCTGTAAAATGAAGAAATCACTCATATCCACTTTCCAAGGTTTTAGGAGGATTCAATTATATACCCCCCAAAAGTTCCCAAACATGAATTCCATGAAAGAAAAAGTGACTCATTCTGTTGTTTGTTTTTCTTCTCAGCCACCAGAAGAGATCTATTCAAATGGGGATGCAGTTTTGATTCATTTTCACACTGATGACACAATCAACAAGAAAGGATTTCATATAAGATACAAAAGCATTAGGTATCAAGATACCACGCATATCAAATAACTAATACCAAAACCTCCTTCAGAAAATAAAGGAATGTGCATAACGGAGAGAAGACGTCGTTTGTTTTTTTAAATGAAGATATTAGCACAATGTTTTATATAATAAAACTGAACAGAAGAAAGCTGTATGACCAGAATTATCTCTGTTGGCAGTGAACCTTGGTCAGCTTTGCCCCAGGGTATTGGAACTCCAGCTTGACGGTATGAATAAAGCTGGTGGAAGGGCATGACGTGCTTCAAGGAAGACTCCACAAGCTTTTGCTCACAGCTTGACGCAGATGCCTCACAAGTCAGACAATTAGGTTCAGGGTCTGTGGGCCTGCAGAGCGTTCTTTTTGACAATTTTGCAAGATTGGAGATAAATAAAAGGATCTTGCAGGTCATAAACTGGAAAACCCTCTCCTTGTTTCTTAGGATAATTGCTTTGGCTTTGTATCTTGGACACAGTGTAAACCAGATCCTTGTAAAATGTTGTGAAATAGAAGTCTTAAGAGGGTGGTTTGTAATTTAAATGTAGGTGTGTCCAATGTTTGGAAACTGGAATATTTCAGCTTCATTATTTTCATTTGCAGGCCAGATTAACCTCTTTGAAACATAGATCATCTTGAGACCACTTTATTTTACTGATATTTTGACAACTTTGAAATGTCAATAGTTTCTATCATAGCAATTAAACTCTAGACATCATTTATTGAAGTGCTGAAAAGTGCCCAGTTGATCCGTAGACTCAGTTCTAGTGCTGCCTTTTCACACCAAATCCAAGAAGCCTTGTGCTGGCTTATGAACTTAATGGGGGGAAAAAAAATTCCCAACCGGTGTGAATAGGATTCTTCTAAATGAAATGACTGTCTGGGTGGTTCATACTCAAGTTACCACTGCTGCTATTGTCTTTCTTTTGTTGTTGATCTGTTGTAGTTGTAGTTGTTATTGTTGATGTTGTCATGGTTAATGTTATATTTAAAAAAAATGAAATGAAGCGGAAGTAGACCTTGTAAGAATCGAAAGATATCTCTCTCTCTCTCTCTCTTTTTTTCCTTCCTGGGATTCACTTTAAGAAAAAAAAATGCAATGTTGGAAAAGGTTTTGTTTCTGAAAGACTTTCTATGGTGCTATTCCATGAACATTTTTTTAAACAAAGTTTTTGACTTTGAGCCAACCACCTGTAGACTATGAATGTCTCCCTCTGTCTGGCTGGTGGCATTTGAAGACTAAAGACTTGTAAAATGTATCAAGAGTATATCATCACAAGGGCAGCACTTGTCCTATGGAGCAACTACTTATAATGCCTTAGGATTCTTGCACATGATCAAACATATCCTTCTAGAAACACATCTTTTGAAATATTGAACATAATAGCATATGTTAATTAGCAGCTCTATGAGGAAAATCCATTTCTCTGACGGAACATTGGGTATAAATATGTTGACCTGCTTTTGTTGTAGAAAATGATTTTCTGCTTTAAAGCCATGTGTGTTTTTAATATTAATGTATGTATATGTGAGCTTGTCTGAGTGAAGCTATAAGAAGGTGAAAAGTAGTGGGTGGTTTGAAAAGTTAAAATTTATGTGCCAAGTTCTACTAGAATCCTGTTTGAAGTAGCACCTTTCTTAGGCAGTTTCATGGACAAATAATGGGAACTTCTAATTATTATCGACCCATTAAAAAACGGCTCTTTCCTTCAGAGAAACTCTATTTTGATATTTTTTGATGTTGATGTAGATTGCTCTGTAAAGTAGCTTTGTTTCTGTTAGCTGTCCATGAATATTGAACATTTAATAAAATTGGGTATTTTTCTTCATTTTTACAAAATTAAACTATACACACAGATATAGTTTATTTGTTATTGTTGCCCTAAAGAATCTTTTCTTGCATATGAATTATAATATGTAAATACATTTTTAAAACCAATCTTTTCATCTTATTGAATGTTACTTTGGAAATGTATAACTATTGCCTGCAACATAATAAGATTTTAATGGAGCTGACTTATTCCAGTAACTTCTATATTTTTCACTAATCTCCAGATAGCCAAAATTTATCAGGAATGGGAAAGAGAAAAGAAAAAACACATGAACACCCAGTGTACGACACTATGCCCAGCCTGGGACTGGGCACACGTACTAGCTCTTTTTAACCTTGTGCTCCCTTTGACAACTGTGATGATGTTCTCATTTTCTAGTTCAGGACCTGAGGCTCAAAGAACACACATAATATTCCCAGGGTCACAGTGTACAGTCAGATGTTGAAAGCCAGCTCGTCTCTTCTAAAAATCTGTGCTTGTCCTACAAAATGTAGTAGAATCAATCTTAACATATATAAATAGTAGATTTTTTTATGATGAAACTTTTCCACATTGAGTAAATTATAGGGTGAATTACATTAAATCTTCAGGATAAACCTATTGTTCCTTTCAGAAACAGCATGGCAATTCGAACATCAACTGTAGATAGCTTTAAGGACTACAGTTAGTACTAGAAATACAAAAAAACAATAGTTTGGAGTTAGTAACCATGGACCTTTTATTAAAATAAATATTAAATTATTTTATCTGCTGTGGTAGGGAAATGTAGTGTTCTACTTTATGAAATATTCTGGATATTCCAGTTGACAATTAGGCTACAATGTGCTGCTTCAACACAACCGAGAAGTTAAAGTTAAAAGGTATTTAGAAAGCATATGGCGATGTCATAACTTAGGTCTCGAGTGTGGTCATTAATTTTTATTGTATCTTACGTCATATCAGTTCACTGCATACTAATTTATATTAATTCCACTTTGGCTTAAGTGTTGTTAAATGCAAATACAGACAGCTTCAATGTTTTGTTAATAATTGTTAGTACTGTTCTAGACATTTTATTAAATTAATTTTGTAAATTATTTTCAACCCCTACATTAGTATATTGGTTGTTCTATTTGCCACAGTTCTTACTCCTATGCATCCTGTACACAGAAAAAAACTGTTCCCACTTCATATGATTTTATTAAGTTATTTTTAAAAGTCATTAATCTAGTTTATTATCATGCCTTAATGTACCTGAATAAAACAACATTTTTAAACAAATGAATGAGAAACAGCAATTATATTTTGAAGTTCCCAAATGTTTCCTGTTTATATTGGCTGGATTTTTGCTATCTAAGACTAATTTTAATATATTACAGTGTCATACTCAAATTCTACTCAATTTTGTTTTTAAATATCTTAGTCTCCTTTATTTGATTTGTATTACTACTGTATTTTTATGGGAAGCCTCAAATAGGAAATTTTATTCTTCCACACAGAAAATCTCTAAACGCATCTAATGATTAATTATTATTCTTTAAGAAGAATAAAAATTATTTTTAAAAGAAACATTAAATTACAGATTGCTTAGATTTAGTAAACTATAGGTGTGTGACATGCAAAATGACTTTTACTTAGCAATCATCAAAATGTTTGGAAATTTTGTTCAGTGATAATGAGAATAAGATTTACTTTTTGGAAAACCTTTATACCACTTGTTAAATCTGGCATGGGAGGAGAAACACAGGAAAAATAATTACCTCCTAAAGTTTTATAATTTGAACTAAAGTAATGCCTTCTTTTTCTTTTTTTTTTTAAATCCTCACCTGAGGATATTTTCCCATTGATTTTTTTAGAAAGAGTGGAAGGGAGATAGAGAGAAAGAAATATCGATGTGAGAGAGACACATTGATTGGTTGCCTCCCGCCCCAACAGGGCGGAGGATCAAGCCTACAATGGAGGTATGTGCCCTTGGCCAGAATCAAACTCCAGACCCTTCAGTCTGTGGGCCGATGCTCTAGCCACTAAGCCTAACCAGCCTGGGCATGCCTTTATTATAAGAAAAAATGTGTAATATGAGCTTATCAAAAAGAAAAAAAGCTCATCTGTGAATGAATGGAAGCATTTTATGCTTCAATGCATAGTGAATACTTAGCTTTTAGCCTTTTAGTGTTATTATAAAATTGAAAAATTTTGTCATTAGCTTAGAAAAAAATTGTTGATAAAGCTGGCTCTGATACATGCTGAGATATTATTATTAGTCTCTGAACTTTCTTTTGACATCTACTCTTTCTCATTGTCCAGCCTTCAACGCACCCATCTTTCACTATCCACCATGGTATTCAACCTGAATCCAGGCTCACCATGTGTGATTTGAATTTGCACTTTGACATCTCATTTCTGCAGACACTGATGCAGAATGATTCCAAAGAGGTTATAGGCCTCTTTACATACAATATCTCATACAATATCTCAAATAACAATTTTTAATACAATAAATATCAGTTTCTAATTTTAGAAGACTTGGAGGTGGAAATATATCTGGGTTAAAGCTTATGAAAGAGAAGACCTAAGGAGCCAATATCCAGCTAGATAGAAGATAGAAGGTCCTGGCAGCTGGGTCTTGTTTTGTCTTTGTTGCCAGGGTGAAGGCGTTGAGTAAGTAATGAAATTATTTGTGTTATGTGTAATTTCTATACGAATACAAACTAATAGCTTCACCAATCCCATTGCCCTTACTCTGCTCTGTCTACCCATATTTTTCGTATAGTTGAAAAATTAGTTATATAGCATTTTATTTTTGGCCTATCAAACTTTTAGAGCATACTTGCCTCTGAAATAAAAATAGCAACTAAGGTTATTCAAACTGATACATAGTAGTTTATACATGAGCTCAATGCATCAATGTATTTTGCAAATTATATTTTAAAAAGCAGATCCAATGATGCTTCTATTCACTAATATTATATGACTATTCGTCTTTTTCTCTTTTTTAAAAATAGTTTTATTGATTTCAGAGAGGAAGGGAGAAGGAGAGAGAGAGAAACATCAATGATGAGAGAGAATCACTCATTGGCTGCCTCCTGCACACCCCCCACTGGGCATCGAACCTGCAACCTGGGCATGTGCCCTTGGCTGGAATCGAACCTGAGACCCTTCAGTCCACAGGCTGATGCTCTATTCACTGAGCCAAACCAGCTAGGGCTCAACTATTAGTCTTAATATTTAACTCTTCAACAAATTTAAGGACTGACAAACTTCATATCCATCAAAAGCTCTTCTAAGAAATTTTATGAGTAACTATAAAAATTTAGTTTAAAACAATAATTTTAAATCATGATTCCTTTATGATATTTAAAGG